TAACTTGCATCTCCTGTAAACAAATGTTTTAAATAATGAATGTAAATAGAACACTGCTGATTAAGAGAAAGAGCAGGGCACCATCTCAGCGATCCTGTCCTGTTAAGTATTTACTCTAGATTCTTACTGGCCATTCTTACAGAACAGGTCTTTCTTTGTGTCTAAAACTGCGAGACGCAGCGCTCAAGGAATGTTTTTTTAAAGTGCAGCGCAGAATGCCTACTCCGCCGTGTTGCCATCAAATACCACAGTCTATGTCAAATACAAAAGTTGCCAAGCCAACCTGCTACTGTAAACAAAAGCTTGCAATGCTTGCCCCGCCTCCGGGGTCTTCTGATTGGTCCACGGTTTTAAAACTGACATTGATGAGCGGCACTGCGCGAGACGCTGCAAAAGACACAAGCGCAACAGTCTTACATGTCCGTATAGCGCCTACTACTGTACACACGTGGTAGTATGTTTTCAAGGGGAAAGTATTAATAGGATTAAAAAACCGAAATAACCGACATGGGAAAATTATGTCAGTTAGAGATTCTGAATTTCAGTTTCGATTTCTTTTCGATTAATCGTCCAGCCCTAGTATGAATCTATGCAGAATTAGCAACAAGTCATTAGAAAACAATGCAGTAGTCACAAAAAAACATCACTCCTTACCCAGTTCTGAACATGTCCTCAAAGCATGTTCTGCAAGCAAAAAAGAAAGCGTTTTTACATTAAATCACATTCATTTGATAATACATGGGTCAGGGCCGGAACGGCTGCGAGAGAAAAGTGTTTATAACGTTTTGAATATGGATATTTTTCTTACAAAAACGCATCAATTCGCTACAGAAGGCCTTTATTCACCCCCAGGAGCCGTGTGAGGCACGTTTTATTATGGATGGATGCGCTTTATTTGACTACTTTTGACCTGTTGAAAAAAACACCCACCCACTGCCATTATAGGGCTTGGAAGAGCAAGGACAATTTTTAATATAACTCCAACTGGATTCGTCTGAAAGAAGAAAGTCACACACACCTAGGATGCCTTGAGGGTGAGTAAAACATGGGCTAATTTGAATTTTTGGGTGAACTAACCCTTTAATTTGTGAAAGGGTGAATTAAGACCCGCAAAAACCCAGACTTTAAAATTGTCATATAATGATAGTCAAATAAATTTAGTCAAATGTGTTGAAGCTGTTAACTAGTAGTGGATACAACTAGTGTGTTATTTCTAGCACAATCAAACACTCACTTGTGTAGCAGATGACCGCAGGGGAGCACATGAGCCCCTATTCTGGACGTGTGGATGTCCTCCATACATACAGGGCAGTTCTGCCTAGAGACATTCTCAACACACTGAAACAGCAAGCACTGATTAATATTTCACTACTAACAACAAAATGAGCAAGTAACTTTCAAGAATCAGGAGAACACTTTTCATACCTTGTGATTGTCTTTAAGATCAGTGGCTAAACATAGATTGCACTTCGTACAATGGAAGTATTTCTCTCTTGGGCCAATTCTAAAGGTAAGAGGAGGTCAAGGAGAATCTTACTAAAAAAAATTACAAATGTATTGCTTCGGTTCAGTAATGAAGACCCTTCTAATTTGTACGTTGTTTTACATGAAAGCGTGTGCTAAATTAATAAACGTAAATCTCATGCAAACCTGCAAATCCCGCAGGGCTGGCAGTGGTACTGCTTCTTGTCTTTATCAAAGAGATGGCAAATGTCACAGTAATACTCCCCAAACTTCACTTCACATTCTTTACATATTTGTTGAGACTGAAGAACACAGAATGCACAAGAGCTTTAAATGTTACCAGAGCTGAAAAGTACAGAAAAAATTATATTCTACATTAAGAAAACGACTATATTTACGATTTGTTGCATTTTGACACTTTAATGACCCATGATTTTATTTTTACAACAAATACCACTATGATGCATAAATAATTATTATATATGTACAAAATTATTATTATTTCTTGGAAATACATATCACAATGCATTTGTTCTTTTTTTATTGCTTATTATCACCCTAAAATATTACCCAGACATATTACAGGTTGTGTGAGATTCATGCAAGCAAAGCCTATATATTTTTTTTTTTTAGAACTTAAATAGCTTAAATATGACTTTACCTCTTGTATAGAATTGCATGCTGCAATTAAATCGGTCCATTTGATGGTTCTCTTCACCATCATGACAGAGTCTGCAAACATAAAACTTCCCACAGCAGGGCGCCTACAGAGAGAGAGACCACAAACACATTTCACTGCAGATCAATGCACAATTGCACATGCAAAAGTCCAGTTAGTAGCTCCACTGTATTGCACACTGTAACTAAGTGCTTACATGTTACAGCAAGAACATCACTGACATCAACATGCTGCAGGAACAAAACCATAACAAAGCCCTAAACTGTCCATTTCTTTGCCCCTAACGAGCAGAGCAACGAGTCTAACCTAGCATATCGAATTTGTTGCCTTTAAGCCAACAATAATTAGATTTTAGTTCATAAAATAATCTTATATTAAACATAAAAACCTGTCAATAGGCCTTCAGTGATGCACATTCCCTACAGTTAGCTAGTATGCTAATTAGAATCGCTTCAATCACACGCTCCCGTGCGACCAAGCAAGCATTTACCAAAACAATCATGCTAACTATTTGACAGCGGCAAGCATATGCGAAACACAAGGTCTACATGTAATTAAATGTCGCTCACTTTTAACAAACAGCTGCGAACGTAATGCTCACATCCAACTTGTGTGGCAGCCATGTTTCACTTAAATGCTAGAAAACTTTATTTCAAAGTCCTTCATTTACATTAGTGTTCGGGGGTTCTCGATCTATTACATTGAATTACAAGAAGGAAGAAAATATATTAGGCTACAAGTAATATAATTATATATAAATATATTTAATATATAAACTTAGCATATTTTTCTTAAATATATGCATGCATGTGTGTGTATTTATATATATATTTATTAAAAAAATTGTTATTACGTGACCTGCAAACTGCCAAACCGGCCCATTTTGGGGGTCTTGTCATGACCACAGTGACAGACGGCGCAGCATCTGCCCCACTAAGATTATAAACTTGCCCATTGTCTTTCCCTAAATTATTGCTTAATCTGATCTACTGTGAGTTTAAGCCTTTAAGAGTCTATAAACCACTGAGCATGTATAAGTATATTAATGTTACATCTGAAAGCATGATTTGTTAAGCACTGCTTATGAACTTGATGTTGTAAAACTAGCTAACATGCTCAGTTTGATTTTTTTTTCTTCACAGATGCCCTTGAGGTCTGGAGACATGTGGATATGTTTGATTGCACTAGTGTTTGTTCGGTCAGGACCACTATCGTCAAATGTTCGATAATGTTATGTACACATTTTAGAATTAGTCTGATTCAAAGGAGAATAAAAAGGCTGAATCCTGACTGACAGAGGAGGAGTTGGGGATGGAGGAGGGTAATTAGTTATTGAGCAATGCGAAAACTGCTGATAATACTGAGGGACCTTATATATGAATGCTTAGATAGGTGTCGTATTCCCATAGGTTGATGGGGATCAGCTGAGAGTCAGCTGATGCGAGCTTGACTAACGTGACCTGCCAGAACTAACGCTACGCTAGATTTATGTACAGGATTATTTTGTGTATCGATTCTATCTTGCATCCTGTGCTGCTTTTATGTGGGAAAAAACAGTTTTGCGATATTAAGAGTTATAATACACGTAAAATATAATAATATTATGTAAAAATAGAGTAAAAATAGAGTGTACATAGATTATTTCTAAAGAAGTGATAATCTAACAGAGGCCAATATAATACAAGTTACTGAATAAATATTTATTCTTTCATTCTATTCTTATTTTTCAAAGAACAATAGATAAGTGTAAGGAGAAAAGGCATAAACATCATAGCGTTTTATAAGCACATGCCAAAAATACCACTTACAAATTTAACAGGAATAATTACCTGAGTAACTGAACTTAACAACACACTCTCTTGACAATTCGTAACAATTTTGGTGAATTACTAGCTAATTTGTATAAATTTATAGGGGTGGGGTTAAAGGTGGATTTTATTTTTCTAAAAATGCTGCGTTTCTACGAATCACATATTACAAATTCATACCAAATCTCCACATCGTAAAATAGGTACGTTTTCTCATAACATCGGGTTTTAACTGAAAGCTAACTTAAAGGTCTTAGTGACCCTTAAGGTTACACTAAGTGACTTTGTCTGGCATTAGCTGTCCTGCTCTTTCCATTGTTTACAAAGCTTGATTCATGTCGATTTGAATTAGTTTTGATTTTGAAGGCAGATAAACACACTGCATGCATTATTCAAAGCAATATATGTATATGATATATTTATATGATTTGGTGTCAATTATAAGTGGTGCTAAATTATTAAAAATGCATGTAATTGATTTCTAAAGGATCGTGTGGCACTGAAGACTGGAGTAATGATGCTACCAATTCAGCTTTGCAACACAAGAATATATGATTTATTTAAATGTATTTAAATAGAAAACAGTTTTTTTAATTTATTGTAATACTGTTTAACTGTATTTTTTGATCAATCATAAAATATCTTAATTTTTCCAAACTATGTATATGTAGAAAATACCTAGTTTCTTAGTTTCATTCATGAATTCCTTCACGTCCGCTAATTCCTACGTCTGTTTGGCTGCTTGTTTAAATGTTACTATCATTATCCTCTAGTAAATACGGTGCCCCATCTCTTAACTACTTCCTCTAGTTTAGAATGAGTTTACGAATAAGCATTTGGGTGTTGAAGGGGGTCTTAAACTCATCCGTAACTTGGCAAGAGCATTCATTCATTGACACGTGGCAATCATGCCATTTCAAAGAACGTAAAGCAGACGTCACTATCAAGCAAAAGCTTAAAGGATAATGGCATTTAAGTTGAACTCTTAGCTCCTTATAGAGAGCATTAGAGCTCTGGCGCTGCCTCCTGCTTGCCTCTTTATACTTAAATAAGGTAGATTTAACCTCAGTAAAGCGCTGAGATTTACAGGCGTATGGTACACTAGCTATCCTCCTCGAGGAGGATAGCTGATGTCTGAAAGGATGTTCACCTTTCAGAGAAACAGGAGACAGAGCCTCTTTCCCAACTGCAAACTAGCAACCTCGGAGTCAACAGACGATGAGGTTCCGTTTGCTAAACAGTGTTTGCTGAAACAGTGGAGCTCTTTAGGCGAACTACAGACGGATATCTATGACATCTTTGGTGAAGATGAGGAGGTTGAGAAGCATTCGGAACCAACAATGTGGTTTACAAGTGCCTCACCCAGCAGGAATTGCACGCTCAACCTCAACGTTGGTGGAAAGTCCTACCGCATCACCTATAAAATGGCAGCAAGATACCCACAGAGCAGAATCGGCCGTTTAGCCACCTATACGGACCTCAACATGAAGCTAAACCTCTGCGACGACTATGTGGTGAAGGACAATGAGTATTTCTTCGACCGAGATCCAGACGTCTTCAACAGCATCTTCAACTTTTACAGAACCGGCGTGCTGTGGATCAAGGACGAGCTTTGTCCAAGGAACTTCTTAGAGGAGATCAATTATTGGGGCGTTCGGATCAAATACTCGCAACGATGCTGTAGGATCCTTCTTGAGGAGAAAGACGACGAGTTGTGCGAACAGCTCAAGGTTCAGAAGGAACTGGAGGCGGAGGTGGATGTCGAAGAAAATGAGGAGGTGTTCAATGACATGTTCCTCGGCGAGACGAGACGCTCGCTTTGGAACTTCATGGAGAAACCGTTCTCCTCAGTACCGGCGAAACTAATGGCGGTTGCCTCGAGTATGTTTGTGCTGGTGTCGCTGGTTACAATGACTTTGTCTACGGTAGAAGAAATGGAGAACATGGCATCTAATGAGTTTAGCGGAAAGACATCTGGAGAGTTCGTAGAGACACTGTGCATAACCTTCTTCACCGCTGAGTACCTGCTGCGTCTAGTTTCAACCCCAGATATCGGTTGCTTTGTTAAAAGCATGCTGAACGCAGTTGACCTCATGGCCATCCTACCGCAGCTTCTCCAGTTCGTGCTCGAAAGCTTTGAGACCTTCAATTCTGGGACACAAACCACTGACATGGAGACTGTTGGTCAGATGAGCAAGGTGGGACAAGTGTTACAAATCATGCGACTCATGCGTATTTTTCGCGTTCTGAAACTGGCGCGTCACTCGACGGGACTCAGAGCGTTTGGCTTCACGTTGAGGCAGTGCTATCAGCAGGTGGGATGTCTCTTCCTCTTTATCGCTATGGGGATCTTCACATTCTCCGCCATGGTTTATACCGTTGAACACGACGTCCCTCAAACCAAGTTCACCAGTATTCCACATTCTTGGTGGTGGGCATCTGTAAGTAAACATTATTTCTATTAATCATGCAGATATGATATAGTTGATGTTGAATATAGTTCAATTACTCACCCCATGTCTTTCAAAACCAGTATTATTTTGTTTTTTTCTGTAGAAAACACAAAAGGAGATATTTATAGAATGCAACAGTCAGGTTCTGAAAGTAAAATTCCATTCCTTTTCTCTATCCACCTTATTCTTCAACACCTCCGGTTCATTAGCCACTATAGGGAAATAACGAGAAGAATTACAATGTGCAGTAAACTGTAAAACTGCTTGCACTGTAAACCAGTGTTCATAATTAAGATAATACATTAAAATAATGTATATGTAATATGGTAAGAAACACCAATTTGCAATATCAAGCAGGAAAACTAAAAATAGCTGGACGCGGTTGAGACCGGAAGCCAGACCCATAAAATTTACAAATGGTCACACCTTCTTACGGGAATAATAAGATAGATAGGGAAATTGATTTTGAATGATTTCAAACCTTTAAGACAGACTTACTATGAGCTACAAGGTTGTTAATGGATGGTATATGCTTTTTCTGAAGCCATTAGTCTGCATTAGACCAATTGTTTTTTTAAATAATCAGATTTAGCAGAATTCCCGGTAAAAACTACATTACCCATAATACTGCAGAGAAATCTCTAGCAATCAAAAGAACTGCCCACTTGCATGAAGGATTGCAATTGATGCAATTAAGTCAGTATCCCTACGCTCTAAAATTATTTAAATATTTGTATACATAATATGCATATTTTGCAATATAAAATACATTGTTTAAATATATACTCAGTATCACATGATTTTTTCCAATATGTTTGATTGTATCATTCGCAATGCTTCCTGGGATTATAGTTCTTTCCCTCATTAAAGCAGTTAAGTACAGTTTTGTACTTTTGTGTTTTGGTCCAATTTGCTTCAAATCAAAGTATGCAATGTTCTGATACACGTCTTAGCTTGTTGGTTTGGTTCATGGCTTATAACTCCTTAACAAAGACTTTTAAAAATCCCTATGGGAAGAATTAATGGAAAAAATACTTTCAAGACCACTAACTGGGAGCTGTTGTACTCTATAGCACAATGTCCAAGCTGCTCTTTTCCAAAACAATGAAAGTGAACGGTGACATATTTGTCAAACAAGAGTTTCAGTGAATTTTCAAGTTTCTAACACAAAGCTATTATACATCTATTATTCTTGGAAAAAGTATTTTTTAAACTACTTTTATAAAGTTTTCAAGTCGTTTTTGTGCTTTACCACATACGGTCTCCATACACCTTCATCTGCTAAACCTCTCTTGGTTTTCTATGTAAGAATGAAACTCATAGGGGTTTGGGAAAGACACATGAGGTAGGGTAAATGATGACAGAATTATCATTTTTATCAGTTTACCATTAATTTCTCGTTCCAGGTTAGCATCTCTACTGTAGGCTATGGTGACATGTATCCGGAGACTCTTTTGGGGCGGATATTTGCCTTTGGCTGCATTTCCTTTGGGATCATTCTGAATGGCCTTCCAATCTCCATCCTCTTCAATAAGTTCTCCGATTACTACGCCAAACTGAAGTCTCATGAATACAGTTCCAACACCAAGAACAGAGGGAAGGTTAACTTCATCCTGAGAGCCAAGACGAAGCTCAAAGAGTGTGGCTGCATTGAAACTAACAACATTAATGTTTCGTAAACACTAGTGAAATCGATTGTTGGCATTGTTACGATGTACTGAATCTTGTCTGAATGAGATCATTTTCTAAAAAGCCTCTTATCTAAACGTGCCAAAGTAAATTTTAAAATACAAGTAATAAGTAACACGGACTTAAATTATCAGTAACACTTTATTTTAAGGTGTCCTTGTTGTTACACATGTACGTACTATTATAATAACAATTAATTATGCATAATTACATGCAAGTTAATCCTAACCCTAACCACAGAGTAAGTACATGTAGTTAATTAATATTACTCAGTATTAAATGTATAATTACACTGTAACAAGGACACCTTAAAATAAAATGTAACCAATATATTACAGTCTGTTATTCCTCATCTCCTGTTCCTGCATTATTAAATGTTTAGCTTCATGGCATGAACAAATCTTTGACAAAGTTGTACTACGGCATTAAAGTAGCCTACATTTTAATGTTTGGACATCATGTTTTATTTTCTACTTTTCGTCTGGTTATAGAATCACATTTAGCCACATAACACTGATGTTAACCTGTATAATCTTCACTGTTTTGATGTTCTACCTAACCTGGCCTTTTGAACTTGACCTGACTGACAACCAAAATAGAAGATTAATCTAATTTACAGAGTTCCCATGACGTGTCCAATTGACTTAATTAACACTGTATTTAGCCTCCAAAGACCAGGCAATTCCTTACTTGTTCTCAGCTGTTCCAATGTTTTGTTCTTTGAGGCCATACAAGCGTTTTGATTCAGTGACATTAGGGCAAATCTTCACAACACTTCTTTTTCTTCAAAATATCGACAAAAAACCTCCCCATAAACGAGGAAGAAACCTTGGCTGGGAGAAGCATCCTCTCTCATGATACATTTGAGGTACACGTATATTTACAATATTACATTATTTACATAGATAAGTAAACGCTTGACGAACCTCTTTCTCGGTGATCGCGCAGTTGCACTCCAGGCCTGTGGGGGGCGGCGTGACGTCACTGCGCTCATAAGCGTCACTTCTTCGCGTTGCGCTCGTGCTCTTGCGTTTCTCTGACCTCTGCAGACAGAGCGCGGTCCTGAACTCCAGTGAAATGGCTCCTCCAGTGCAAGTGTCGCCGCTGATTAAGGTTTGAATTCACAAATCAATTATTCTGGATGTTTATGACTCGTTTTAAACGAAGAAAGGCGTCTTCAGGACTGCCTTTCCCTCCTTCCTGTCGTGTTTCTCTCAGAAGTCGGAGCGGACTGTGATGTGTTGACATGGCCTGCATGCTGAACATCATGATATTTCCTTAATTCTCTGTTAATAAAACATAATTATGGATATTAATGAGATTTGTTTTGTTTTTTAGACAGCCAGGTGGTCTGCATTGCTCATTGGCATTATCTACGGAAAGCGCAGATATGGTAAGAACCTGCAAGTTGATCTGAAACAGTCTGACTGGTTTTCAAATGACATTCTGTACACACACACACACACACACACACACACATATTTGCAGGTGACTTATGGAGGTCACATTGATTTATGTTTTACAGGATCATTAACACACATTTCAACCTTTCAATTCTAAAGTTCAGTATGTTTTTGTAGGACAAATGTCCTACAGAAACAGAAGTACAGATATTGGTGTAATTAATTTTTTTTAATAATAAAAAAAAATGAAATAAAACTAGTGGCAGGTATATGAACGATTGTTTTCACCACTGGGTAAAGTAAAAAAAAAAAAGGGCACTTTTTTTTTTTGCAACTTTTGATCTTAGTCCTTTTCTTTCTTGTAATTCTTAGTTTATATATTAAAATTCTGACGTTTATCAGAATTGCTATTATACACTTGCAGTTGCGAGGAAAAAAGTCATAAATGTGAGATTAAAAAGTTGCAATTATTATTTTTTAATAATTAATTTTAATATCATTTGAATATAATTTATTATATATTTTTTGTATTCTGTAGTGGAAGCAACTTTCCATCCAAAAATGCCACTGCATCTGTTGCTGAGAGTTTCAGAATGTTTACACATTTAATAAAGGCCTTGCATTTTAGTTAAAAGCTTTTTCTTTATTCTCCAGATAATCTGAAACCAATTGCAGAGGAGGAGAGGAGAATAGAAGAGGAGGAGAAGAAGGTACGAGAGGAGAAGGAACGCATTGCTAAACAGCTAGCAGAAGGTAAGGTTTTCTCTTGATTTTTAAATAGTGTGATTCTTCTGCAGATTGAGCAGCTGGTTGTACTGACTCTAAATATTTTTATCCAACAGCTAATGAGGACACGATCTTGAAGTGAGCTGTCTAAAATTATGCCTGTATCGCTTATATTGTAAAGTTCTCGTTAACTGTCTGGATAAAGAATGATGCTTGTATTCTGCCACTTTGGTTTTACAGTGCCCTTTTCACACCTTTCACTGTTTTCTTATAGATCATGTTAGATTAATGCCTCATTTGTGAAATAACTGGTTACATGAAAATATGTGTATAAATTTTCTTTGATCGGACACAGTCTATTCTTTCATTGAAGAACCTCTGATAATAATGATGTGATGCAGATGTAAAACAAGCAATGTAATGTTAAACATACACTGAATCAAGAGTTCCACTTTGGTAAACACCCACACCAATATTTATTAATAAACCGTTTATCCCTATTTCTTTTTTATGTCATTTTGATATTTACAATTCATTTTAATGTCCAGGCAGTTCAAAGTCTGACACAGCAGCATTTAATATTAAAATGTATTCTGTTTTTTTTTTTTTATCAATGCAAGGAAATACTGTAAATGAAACTTCAGTTTGTTGTTCAAAAATTCATCATACAGTCCATTCAATCTATTTTTATCTCCAATAAAATTTACCCGTGGATTGTCTTGTATGCAATGCATATTGAATACAAATATGATAAGCAGAGGCTGCACAGACACAGACTTGCTGGTTAAAAAATAATTGTGCTTTACTGCAGCATCAGATAAACACCCCTAAATGACATTCAAAAACAAAATTAACCGTTTGGACACTTGACATGTTGGTCAAACTAGTCTCATCCTGTTCTGGTGAGTGTTTTTGATCAAATTAAGATGCAAAGTGAAGCATATTGTATGTGGACAGTCAAAAGTTGGTCTAATCAAGACTACCAGTTCTCCGAATATTTCTCAGTGACAGAATATTCTCCATTTCTTCCCCAGTAATCCACGGCTCTGACTCTATAATAACTGCTCACCTCCAGACTCTGTGGAGAGAAAAACCCAAGCAGGTCAATATGGATCAGAGCTTGAAGTTAAATATTCTGAATCCAGCCAAAATAATACCTGGAGAATAAGTGTAGTATGTGAAAATAGTCTCTCTGATTAATCCTCTGGAGAGCCGTCTCATCTTTGGAAAATTCCACTTCATACGTTTTTATACACCTAAAAATGACACGTTAGTTATGTTTAGAACTCTTAAATGAAGAACTAGTTTGTTTAATAGCTGTATTTAAGCAGATCTTACTTTGTGCCGATGAAGTGATCCTTCCAAATGATCAGAACCTGTCCTTTGGTGATGGTGATGAAACGCACCCCGTTTACCTGCGGAATGATAACTGTGATATTAAAATCAAACCACATGGTTTCTCAAACTCTGCAAAGAATAACTTGCACAATTTTTGCAATCGCACTTTTGGGCATAGAGAGACAGCAGATGCTATGAAATCACCCCACATCATGACTGATACTGAACTCAAGGGCTGTGTCCAAATCCTGAAAAACAGTGCCTTACTAGGCTTTATGAGGTTCATGCTGTTATGCTTTTAAACAGTAGTTCATATATATATATGCAGGACACTTGAAAATTCAAACATTATTACAGTTTGTCTAAAATAAGTAATAGTTCACTGAAAATATAACAACAAAAAAAAGAAATTGCTGAACATTTACTCTCTCTCAGGTCATCCATGATGTACATGGATCCTCTGCAGTGAATGGGTGCCGTCAGAATGAGAGTCCAAACTTTCTGATAAAAACATCACAATAATCCACAAATAATCCACACCACTCCAGTCCATCAATTAAAATCCTGTGAAGTGAAAAGCTGCGCGTTTGTAAGAAACATATCCATCTTTAAGGTGTTTTAACTTCAAACCGTCGCTCCTGGCCAAAATACTCATAATCCATAAATTCATAATCCATAATAACGCTTCCTCCAGTGAAAAAGTCTATCTCCTGTTGTCTTCTCAGTCCAAAATCCACCAACATATTTGTTTAGACTTTTTTTGCTTGTAAACAGTGTTTGATCTGTGCATATTTCTCTCCTGATTCAGATGAAAGGAATAGGATAGAGGACTCATATTTTAGATGAACGCAACAGTCTGAACCCATTCACTGCAGAGCATCCATTGGTGAACAAGTGATGGAATGCCGACTTTCTCCAAAGAAACAAACTCATCTACACCTTGGATGGCCTGAGTAAATGTTCAGCGAATTTTCATTTTTGGGTGAACTATTCCTTTATGTATTTCAACATCAGCCTTTTAGAGGTTTTTAAGATCATGAGAAACAAACTCAGTCGTGTGTCCAAACCTCTGATTGGTAGTGTAACCTTTTGGTGCCACATGGATCTAAAATGAGACAGCTGTAATGTTATTGTTACATCATATTACCACTAACCTGGTCGGGCACTTCCTTAGACTGAACACAAACATGTACAAGCAGCACTGAGGGGACAGGAAGCGCTGCCTTCAGCGTCAAGAGAGCCATCGGATGGGACCGGCAGAGGTCCATCAATCTGTGGATCCTACGGCATACACATTAAAGACTCATAACACAGAAAAAAAGTATTTTTCTTCTAATTGTTTTGTAGATATTTATTCAATCTAAGCTAAACAAAAACAACAACTCATGAGCTCATTAACATATGTACACCCATGTGAGAAACATACAGTCATCTTAAAGCAATACAAATAACAGAATATAATGAAATAAATTATTTTATTTATTTTATTAAATATAAAACAGAGTTTTTTTATTAAATATAAAACGGAGATTTTGGTCAACAATGTTTATGGGAAAAGTAATTAAGTAATTAAAAAATTCAGCTCATTTGACTTGAAAAACTAAAATAACGTTAAAATAACAAGATATAACGACAAATTATTTTATTTGCTTTTATTAAATATAATATTGAATTGTATAAAA